TATAAGATGACCCTAACCCTAAAGTTAATTCAATAAAATATATATTATAAGAATCTGCTCCGCTTTAGACGTCCCCCGAATATGGAAGTGAATGTCACAAAATCTCGTTGTTTGGACCAATCAAACTAGCATAACATGATTGATCGACCAATCAAATTACTGATTTACAAAAGTTTTGGATTCAAGAATATGTTAAGTAAAGTGTGAGCTTCTATTTGCTTAAAAAATATTTTACATTTCTTAGAAAGGATGATGGCTAAGACTTTTTGACGAATTTGATTTTGATAGTCGATAAGGCACACGAGCCTTTCAAAAAAGTTTTGTAAAAATAATATTAAAAAATTCGGTATCGATTGTGTAACAACTCCGTGTAACATACACTGTCTCTGCTGTAGTATATGTAATATTCTTGATGACATTTTACACAGATGATATCATTCCGTACAAAAATTCTAGGCAAACAATATATATCAAATTATGGATTAAAATTAAATTAGCGTTAGATATTAGTCCGATTAAACTTATTTGGCCAATGATATTATGTCATGTGAGCATATAATCGAATTTGAAGCGTTGCTAATTTATTATTTTTTTACGTAGAGTATTTTGCATAGAATAAATAAAATTTTAAAATATTTATAATAAGAGATTGCTTAAGAATATTTATAATATAAGAGATTGCTTAAGAATATTTATAATCTATAAGAGATTGCTTAAGAATATTTATAATCTATAAGTGATTGCTTAAGTGAAATACAAGTTAATAAGACTACGTCTGGTATTAAAATGTGTATACATAATTTTAAAATTTATAGCATATACAATAATTCAAAACCATAAATACAGTAAAAGAATGAAAATCTAAAGTTCACCAATCCAAGTTTTTTTGGCAAAACATCTTTGAAGATGAGTATAAGTTTTGTTTTCGTTTGATTCCTTAACAAAGATGTCCAACAAATCAAGATATTCTTCATAAGTTACACCCATATATTCCGGAATAAAAACCAAACTTGAAAATAATCTACGAAGATTGATCATTGACTGGATTAAAAAAGAGAGATTAAATAGATTAAAATTTATAGTATACGTGTAATAACATAAGTTATTATTGAAATTATTATTATACTTACATATTTGCCAAAACATCCAAACCATTCGCCTACTGGATATTCTACTTTAACGCATTGTACATTTGTAAGTTCCTCATTTGACTCAAGCATTTTTTGGCAACAAAGCATGAATTTGCATATTAACACCTTTTTCTTTCATGCAAGTTACGCGAACTAAAATAAACAAAATATGATTAAGTAATCAATTAATTTAATAGTTTTGTTCTATTATATACTTTACTAACCAGCTTCTTCTATCCATTTTGTAACCTTTCCATGGTTTATAAATTGAGCAGTTGCTTCTAAAGATTCGACCCAACCATCATATTTCAAAACTCTGACAATATCTTTTATCAACTCAGACCATTGTAGCTCGGTAAATGCAGAAAACATCATGCCAAAATAAACAAAGTCAAAAGTCTCCATAGGAAAAGGAATTCCATAAGTTAAATTGCATGTAGGCGAATGGTTTGGATGTTTTGGCAAATATGTAAGTATAATAATAATTTCAATAATAACTTATGTTATTACACGTATACTATAAATTTTAATCTATTTAATCTCTCTTTTTTAATCCAGTCAATGATCAATCTTCGTAGATTATTTTCAAGTTTGGTTTTTATTCCGGAATATATGGGTGTAACTTATGAAGAATATCTTGATTTGTTGGACATCTTTGTTAAGGAATCAAACGAAAACAAAACTTATACTCATCTTCAAAGATGTTTTGCCAAAAAAACTTGGATTGGTGAACTTTAGATTTTCATTCTTTTACTGTATTTATGGTTTTGAATTATTGTATATGCTATAAATTTTAAAATTATGTATACACATTTTAATACCAGACGTAGTCTTATTAACTTGTATTTCACTTAAGCAATCACTTATAGATTATAAATATTCTTAAGCAATCTCTTATAGATTATAAATATTCTTAAGCAATCTCTTATATTATAAATATTCTTAAGCAATCTCTTATTATAAATATTTTAAAATTTTATTTATTCTATGCAAAATACTCTACGTAAAAAAATAATAAATTAGCAACGCTTCAAATTCGATTATATGCTCACATGACATAATATCATTGGCCAAATAAGTTTAATCGGACTAATATCTAACGCTAATTTAATTTTAATCCATAATTTGATATATATTGTTTGCCTAGAATTTTTGTACGGAATGATATCATCTGTGTAAAATGTCATCAAGAATATTACATATACTACAGCAGAGACAGTGTATGTTACACGGAGTTGTTACACAATCGATACCGAATTTTTTAATATTATTTTTACAAAACTTTTTTGAAAGGCTCGTGTGCCTTATCGACTATCAAAATCAAATTCGTCAAAAAGTCTTAGCCATCATCCTTTCTAAGAAATGTAAAATATTTTTTAAGCAAATAGAAGCTCACACTTTACTTAACATATTCTTGAATCCAAAACTTTTGTAAATCAGTAATTTGATTGGTCGATCAATCATGTTATGCTAGTTTGATTGGTCCAAACAACGAGATTTTGTGACATTCACTTCCATATTCGGGGGACGTCTAAAGCGGAGCAGATTCTTATAATATATATTTTATTGAATTAACTTTAGGGTTAGGGTCATCTTATA